TCTGCGCAGACAGAGCTTTGGCTGGAGATGCAAGCGCTGGGTTCTGCCAGTCCAAACCCGCTCTTGGGATGAATGGTTCCCCAGGTAGCTCATTCCCAGCCCTGTGTGCTTTTCTTGGTCCGCCTCAAACAATGCATTCCAGTTTGGCAGGAGACAAACATCCCACAAATTCCATTTTGCTCCAACTACACTTGCCTTGCTTGCAGTCTCTTTTGCTTTGGGAGGTGGTTCTTCCTTTGGTATGAAGCTTGCAACCCATATTTTCTTTTCTCCCTCCTCCTCTCTCTCTCTCTCTCTTGGATCCTCTTGTCCCAAGCTTTGCCTTGCCAAGAGGTTGAGAAATATGTTTTCATTAAGAAAATTAAACTGACGAGTCGCTGGCATGTCGCTGGCGGAGGCCAAAATGCAGCGGCTCATAACCATGATGAAATGTGAATACGTAGCCAAAAGAAAGCTTCACAACCAGTGCTTTTTCCTGGAAAAGGGTGCAGAAAGTTGGCAGGATCCCACGCCTTGTTGACCCGGCTGGGTCTGTTTTGCCAAACGCTACCAAAAGCCTTGACGGAGCGAGCTTCGGCTGAAGCGACACCTAGGATCAGATGCGGGTCCTAATTTGTTATTCTGCAAAGAATTCCGGCTGTATATATTACGGCCGTGCCCGAGCTCCCTCTATTTATTTTAGAGAGCGATTCGAAAGAACATTATAAACTCCGACTTGTCTCCTCTCTATGAATTCCATATGTTGAAGCTTAATTTTAAATGCCATTAAAAAGCACTTAACATTTACAGTATATTTGATCTCGGCTCCCTGAGCAGCCTGGATGCTCGACGGTTTGGAAAGTAAGACAGAAGAGAAGTCATTCAAGATGTGGGGCTCATAAAGATCCTTGCAGAATATTAAAAATACTCCAAAGTGCCATTTAAGACAAAAACCGATTTGGGGATGGCGCTTCTTTCTCTCTTGATGGCAACCCTAATTTGAAATAACGAAAAGAAATGTTGTCTTTCGGGTTTGGTACCGTTTCTCTTTCCCAGCATCGGAATTTGTCCAAACTGAAGGACGCCTCTGTATTTATCCAGGTGCTTACCTGTGTCCAATGCCGAGAGGGAAGGGTTGTTGATGAATGGGAACCAAAGATGGCCGTTTGGGTAAACTGCCCCCTTTTCGAGTCCGCATTAATTACACGGTAAACACCTTGAATTTATGCGGGGCGTCAACAAAAAGAGCCAATTCAAAGGGCTTCTAAAAGGAGCCCATTTTGTGGACTCCTGCCCAGGCGGCTGCAAAATGGCCGCTCAGACGACAACGGCGTCTCCCTCCACAGACGGACATTGTCCTTCCGTCTCCAGGACCGTCTTTCTATCTCATTCATTTTTGTTCATACAACTCTCTCTTTGTGAGGATACAGGTTGGGGATCTCTTGCCCATCACGTTTGGGACCAAAACTATTTGGGATCTCAGATTTTTAAAAAGTTTTTTTTGCATATTTCCATCTACATCAAGCAATATTTTGGGGATGAGACCCAAGTCTAAGTATGAAATAACATCTACATTGGAAGACATAATCTGGAGTTTTGGAGTTCAGTGCTATCTGTATGCAGATGACACCCAACTCTACTACTCCTTTCCACCTAATCAAGGTTTTAGCACAGCTGGTTAATCACCAGCAGTAATAGATCTCACCAATTGAAAGGCAGTTCGAAGTCTGGATCAAGGTGAGCACCTGACCTTCAGCCCAGCTTACTGTCCCCCTCAGCCAGTGTTTCTCAACCTTCCTAATGCCACGTCCCCTTAATACAGTTCCTCTTGTTGTGATTATCCCCAACGATAATATTATTTTCGTTGCACTTCATAACTAATTTTGCTACTGTTATGAATCGTAATGTAAATATCTGGTATGTATTTACATACCAGATATGATGTATTTTAATTCACTGGACCAAATTTGGCACAAATACCCGACATGTCCAAATTTGAATACTGGTGGGGTTCAGTTGATTTCGTCATTTGGGATCGATAGTTGCTGGGATTTATAGTTTACCTACAATCAAAGAGCATTCCAAACTCTACCAATGATGGAACCAAACTTGGTAGACAGAACTCCCATGACCAACAGAAAACACTGGACGGGTTTGGTGGGCATTGACCTTGAGTTTTGGAGCTGTAGTTCATCTACATCCAGAGGGCACTGTGGACTCCAGACAGGAAACAATCAGGGCCACCTAACACCACCCAACAAAGGATCCTCCCAGGCAGGAAGCACCCAGGCTTTGAAGCTGCAAGGCCATTCAATGCTAATCAAGTTAGCCAATAGCAATATTCACACTTGCTTCCAACAGACAAGAGTTCTTTCTCCGATTGATTCATGTGTGGGCAATGCTGCTGCGTTTGAGGGACCCTATGGAAACTTGTCCACAGCTGCATGGTATACCCCCCAACAAAGGATTCCCTCAGGCAGCAACAGCCAGGCTTTGCAGCTGCAAGGCTATTCAGTGCTAATCAAGGTGGCCAGTTGCAACACCCACACTTGCTTCCAACAGACAAGAGTTCTTTCTCTTACCCCGGACATGATTCCACAGATATATAAACCTCACTTGCCTAGTTTCCAACAGATTTTACAACCTCTGAGGATGCTTGCCAAAGATGTGAGTGAAATGTCAGGAGAGAATGCTTCTGGAACATGGCCAAACAGCCCGGAAAACTCACAGCAACCCAAAGCTGGTATCCATTGGACCATCACAAAGGAAAGGCATCACTATCTCAATTTTGGAGCCTTTTGAGTTTTGGCTCCGCCGGTACTAGGTCCGATTGGGTTTCCACTAGCAGTCATAGCCTTCTTTTTCAAGGGGAAATTTAGGAAGATATTGGCCTTGCTCTCAAGGTGTGGAAGCAAGGAAAAAGTGACACATGGGGCGAGGGCTCCGCATGGTTTCTGTCCAGCTCCTGGGCTGTATTTTTTGGAAAGGAGAGAGTGTGTGACATCGCGACAGGGCCTATGACTCTTCTCTCGGAGGAACAGTTTGAAAACATCTCCGGATTACCTCATGGAGAATTATTGAGAAATATGTGGTCGCAAGGCTCTTGGAGTAAAGGCTACGCATTGTTCTGCTCTAAATGGAGTTTTAGAGATTTTGGAGGGAATGACACTAGCATGTGAGTGACGGGGGACTTTCATGCTCCACAATTATGACCCCCCATTTCAAGGGCCATATTTCCTATGCTTTCATGGCTACAAGACATTTCCAAATGCCTATCCTTCCAAGCTGTACGAGGGGTGTTCATTAAAGATTTCCCCTGACCCACTTCTATTTATCACAGGATGCTGAAACTGCCCATGTGTAATGATATAAGTCTCTATAGGTTGTGTGCCAGTTTACAACTCAGAACGGATAACAGTCTTGATTTTACAAGTGCGGAAGTGGAGTACAGAGCAGTCCTCAAGTTCCTTTACTCAAAAGGCCGCACACCAAAGATGTTCAATGAGGTGAAAGAGGTTGATGGGGATGATTCCTCATCATATGATGGAGTCAAGAACTGGCATCGTCCATTCCAAAGTGGTCGGACTTTGGTGGAAACATCTCCAATTCCAGGGCGACCCCACTCTGCTCTTGATGAACACACCATCCAGCAAGTGGAGGACACCATTTTGAAAAATCGCCACATAACCATTCCCCACCTAGCCCAAAATGTCAAGATGAGTGTGGGGTCCATGGAAAAAATCACCCAAGACCATATTTACCTGCATAAGATTTCCGCTCGCTGGGTCCCCTGACTGCTCACACCTTTCAAGAAGCAGGAATGAGATGAATGCCCTCAGGTTCTCTTGATGATGTGCCATAGAAACCAGGAGGACTTTTTCCACAGACGGATCACATAGGAGGAAATCTGGGTCCATCACTCTGATCCTGAGACTCATGTCCAGTCGATGCAATGGAAGCATCATGGCTCACTGCCTCCACAGGAGGCATGTGCCCAACTCTTGGCAGGCAAGGTCATGCTCACAGTATTTTGGGACCAGCACGGATAGGATGGATGGATGTCCTAGCAAAGGGGACCATGGTCACTGTGGCAGACTAAGCTTCACTACTGCGGACATTGTGGGAGGCCATCCAAACCAAGAGGCGTGGCATGCTCACCAAAGGTATCCGCCTTCTGCAAGACAATGCGCCAGTTCACAACTCACCTGTTACCCGAATGGAAGAAGCATGTTCCTGTGGCTTTGAAATCTGACCAGATCCCACTTATTCACCTGACCTCGCACCATCGGACTTCCATCTCTTTCCAAGAATGAAGTTCCACCTTGTCTCCTGTGCTATGTTAATAATATAACATAATATAATGTAATATATTGTATATACATATAATATTTATAATATTATTATGTAATACAGTATAATAATATGATATTATAATTATATATTTTATATTACATGTAATATTACTAATATTACAATATAATGGTATAGTATAATATAGTAATATATAATACTGATATTGTACTATGCTAATAATATAATATACCGTATGTATATATATCTTGTAAGCTGCTCAGGATCCCCTTCGGAGTGAGAAGGGCAGGATATAAATGTCGTAAATAAATAAATAAATAAAATTTGTGAAGGGAAATCCTTTTTCAGATGATGAGACTCTGATTTCTGAAGTCACAACGTGGCTTTTGGAACAACCGGTTGCCTTCTACAAGCAAGGTGTTGACAGTTTCTTCAAAAGATGGGAGAAGTGTGTGTCCTGAAGTGGCACCAATGGAGGGAAGACTCAGAACTGGGCCAAGTTTCATTGCTTTCAGTCCACAGAAAGTGGGTCAAGGGAAATCTTTCATGAACGCCCCTCGTATATGCCTACTTCTCTAGGAAAAGGGTATCTTGTACATGGAATGACAAATGTATTTTCTAGTAATGACGCAGAGGAGAGTGTGTGCTGCTGGCTTCTCAGTATGGGTGTGATGCTAATGTTTTCCCTTTTATCTCGTCTTTCCCCAAAGGAGGATGTTTCCAAGTTACAAGGTGAAAGTCACTGGGATGAACCCCAAGACCAAATACATCTTGCTGATTGATATTGTCCCAGCTGATGACCATCGGTACAAATTCTGCGACAACAAATGGTGAGTGATCATTACTAGAACGGAATTGTTTTTGAGGCACATTCAGGGGATAACAACTGGTGTTTTGTGGTGCACAAACATGCAGAGATGTGGGAATTATCACATACCTGCATGAATGTTATAGGCTATATTGCTGCTATAATGTGGTTCAATGTTTGGAACTTTTGTGTGTTGCCCAAAGGCATTAGCGTGGAAAGCACTGAGAGATCCTGGCCTGTCAAGGAATTGCCCAGCTATCCAGGAAATTATTGTTGATATTTAATTTATTGTATGTTACTTTGGGTCCTGTGCTGGGAGAAAAGTGGAATATAAATTAAATAAAGCAAGCAAAGGGCCTTCCGTTGCCATAGATTTTGCATCCGGAGTTTCAACCAACCACGGCTCAAAATATAAACCTTAATGCATTGCCCCCAATGGCGCAATAGGTTAAACCCTTGTGCCCACAGGACAGCTGACTGAAAAGTCAGTGGTTCGAATCCAGGGAGTGGGGTGAGCTTCCATCTGTCAGCTCCAGCTCATAAGAGAAGTCTCCCACAGGATGGTAAAACACCCGAGTGTTCCCTGGGCAACGTCCTTGCAGACAGCCAATTCTCTCACACTAGACGTGACTTGCAGTTTCCCAACTCACTCCTGACATGAAAAAAATGCTTTTAATGGAGCCTCGGTTGGTGCAATGGGTTAAACTCTTGTGTTGCTGAACTGCTAACCTGAAGGTTGGCAGTTTGAAGTAGTGGGTTGGGGTGAGCTCCTGCTGTTAGCCCTAGCTCTTGCCAACCTTGCAGTTTGACAACATAAAAATGTGAGTAGATCAATAGGTGCCACTTCAGCAGGAAAATAATAAAGGTGCCCATGTAGTCATGCCAGCAACACAACCAGGAGGCGTCTACAGACAACAGGCTCCTTGGCTTGGAAATTGAACAAGAGCACCTTCCCATGGCCAGAGTTGAGTGTTAGGGAAGACTACCCAAAATAATAAAGCAGAAGATACAAAAACAAAGAGGATTCTTAAACTTGAGCATCAGCTTATTAGCAAGCAAAGTGTGGAGTGCCGTGTGATGTGACTGTAAAGAATTCAGAGCTTAGGCAGGCAAAGATGCAATCTTAAAAATAACAAAAGGGTGATTTTTACAATAATGTTTACAATAATAAGAAATAACTGCATTTCTTAGTAATCAAGAACTGGGTCTGAGCTACCTCAACACCCATCTCTTCTAAGGTTTTAAAGAGAGGGAAAAACTCAATCACACCAGCAGAGAGAGGTCTCAAAGCACACAGCACATATTCTCCATACTAAAGTGTAAGAAGGCAGAAGTCAGGTTCAAAAAACTTAAAGTAGAAAAGTATCCAGAAGCTGGAGATGAAAGGGGAAGCCTTTATCTTTCTTCTTTGTATTTGTGTCATTTATCTGTATTAAAGGAATTGAATGTTGTAATCCGCTCTGAGTCTCCTTGGGGAGGTACAGTGGGATATAAATAAAGTGCATCATCATCATCATCATCATCATTATTATTATTATTATTATGATTTGTCTTTCTATATAAAGGTCACTATTATACTATGCCACTGTATATAATAGGACTTATGCATCCATGGACTTGGGTACCTATGAGATGCCCTTGAACCAAACTCCAGCAAATGTCACAACACAAAACGTTTTCCCTTTGCTCTCTTTATATAGGATGGTGGCAGGAAAGGCTGAACCTGCGATGCCCGGCCGGCTATATGTCCACCCAGACTCCCCAGCTACCGGGGCCCACTGGATGCGCCAACTGGTCTCCTTCCAGAAACTCAAGCTCACAAACAACCACCTGGATCCTTTTGGACATGTAAGGAGCATTATGATGATGATGATGATTAATGTCACATAGGCTGCCTTCATTAAGGGCAGGTCTGAGCTGCCTTTGTTTATGTCTGAGCTTGGCCTTGCGTAGCTGCCCTCATCTATTGTGGTCAACTAGTACGTCACATGCTCAAAAGCATCTTTGCTGCTCTCTTGAGACTCTACAGCAGTGTTTCTCAACCTTCCTTAATGCTGCGACCCCTTAATATAGTTCCTCATGTTGTGCTGACCCCCAACCATCAAATTATTTTCATTGCTACTTCATAACTATCATTTTACTATTGTTATGAATCATAATGTAAATATCTGATATGCAGGATGTATTTTCATTCACTGAACCAAATTTGGCACAAGTATCAATACACCCAAATTTGAATACTGATGGGATTTGGGGGGGGGGTTGATTTTGTCATTTAGGAGTTGTAGTTACTGGGATTTATAGTTCACTTACAATCAAAGAGCATTCTAAACTCCACCATTGATTGAATTAAACCAACCTTGGCACACAAAACACCCATGATCAACAGAAAATACTGGAAGGGTTTGGTGGGCATTGATCTTGAGTTTGGAGTTGTAGTTCACCTACATCCAGAGAGCCTTTTGGACTCAGACAATGATGGATATGGACCAAACTTGGCACAAATACTCAATATGCCCAAATGTGAACATTGGTGGAGTTTGGGGAAAATAGACCTTGACATTTGGGAGTTGTAGTTGCTGGGATTTCTAGTTCCCCTACAATCAAAGAGCATTCTGAGCTCCACCAACGACAGAATTGGACCAAACTTCCCACACAGACTCCTGGATTTGTAATGGAAGTGAAACAATTGCATGGTCCATTCAATTCAAGAGAAATTGGGGCCATTGTGTATCGCATGCGGTGAAAGTGTTTTGGATGCCTCTCGATCCAGTGCGAAAGGAGAAGCCAGCAGCTTTTCCATGGCAGATTCTTCAAGGAACATTCATCAGCCCTTAAAACTTAAGACATCCTTTTAAGCCACCTCTGACTAAAGGCAAAATCCCTCCTCTTAGGCGAAGACATGAATTTATGTATTTCCAAACCTTTACATGGAGGGAGATAGTCAGCCTGACATAAGCTCTGATTTATGGGGTTGTCTTGCGGGCGATTAGGGATCTAGAAAGCTTAACTCTTTTGACAGATTTTGGGCTTCTTTTTTTGAAATATTCTCATCATCATTATTATTATTCTATGCCTATTTCCTCTCTCTTTCTTTGGAGGGAGAGGAAGGAAAGTGTTTTTTTTTAAAAACACACACGAGTATAAAAACGCTGACACAACCAAACCGTGTCCATTAATAACACCAGGTTTATTTAAGCTGCCACATATCCAACTGCTGTTAGAAAATGAGACTCAGTCCTTCAAAAATGCCACCGGATGGGAAATCCAATTAATGTAGCTTCACAAAGGTTTTGGTCCGGCCTGGAGGAATCCTTTATTGAGAGATGATTAGCTGTCCCTGATAGTTTCTTGTCTGGAGTTCCCGTTATGGGTGTTGTTCATAGAATCATAGAATCCTAGAGTTAGAAGAGACCTCATGGGCCATCCAGTCCAACCCCTGCCAAGAAGCAGGAATACTGCATTCAAAGCACCCCTGACAGATGACCATCCAGCCTCTGTTTCAAAGTCTCCAAAGAAGGAGCCTCCACCACACTCCGGGGCAGAGAGTTCCACTGCTGAACGGCTCTCACAGTCAGGAAGTTCTTCCTAATGTTCAGATGGAATCTCCTTTCTTGTAGTTTGAAGCCATTGTTCCGTGTCCTAGTCTCTTTATTTATTTGATCTTTATTTATTGTTATATTTATTTATTTATTATTATTTATTTACAACATTTATATGCCGCCCTTCTCACTCCAAAGGGGACTCAGAGTGGCTTACAAGACATATATTCATACAATATATTATATTATTAGCAAAGTACAGTATCAGTATTATATATTACTATATTGTACTATACCATTATATTGTAATATTATTAGTAATACTATCTGTCCCCTGCCACATGTTGCTGTGGCCCAGTATGTGTATATGTACTTTGTGTGTGTATATATTTGTGTGTTTGTGTATATATATGTGATTTTGCTTTTAAGTCCCTTCCACTGTGTTTTTCAGTGTTTTTATGAGTGATGGTCACTCGTTGGCCTGATATGTGCATTGTGTCCAAATTTGGTGTCAATTTGTCCAGTGGTTTTTGAGTTATGTTAATCCCACAATCCAACATTTTTATTTATATAGATTATACATGTAATTATATTACGTGTAATATAAAATATAAAATTATTTTATATTACATGTATGATAAATAATACATATGTAATGTAATTATATTACATGTAATATAAAATATATAATTAAATATAATATTATTAGTACTCGTATTATATTGTATTACATTATAATATTATAAATATTTTATGTATATACAATATTATATTACATTATACAATATATGCTATTGTATTATTAGCATAGCACAAGAGACAAGATAGAACTTAGATGATTTTAGAGGTTTTTAATACTGGTATCTTTGTTGTCGTGGTTTTTTATTTTTCGTGTCAGGAGCGACTTGAGAAACTGCAAGTTGCTTCTGGTGTGAGAGAATTGGCCGTCTGCAAGGACGTTGGCCAGGGGATGTTGCCTGGATGTTTTGATGTTTGACCATCCTTGTGAGAGGCTTCTCTCATGCTCCCGCATGGGTAGCTGGAGCTGACAGATGGGAGCTCATCCGCATTCTCCCCGGATTTGAACCTCAAACCTGTGGGTCTTCAATCCTGCTGGCACAAGGGTTCCTATCTATGAATATAAAAGCTTGCCATGCAGGTGGATCAGGAATGGGCACTCCTGATGCAATTTGTCAAAAGGGGGATTATTTTTATAAGGAGAGCTATTCCTGACAGTTCCAAAAATTGGGAAAAATTGGGAGAGGCCCAGTTCTATCCAAAGAGATAGCACACATGCCACCAGCTCTTTGTTTGCCAACTATAACTTTATTGTTTTTTGTACCCCACCTCCATCTCCCCAAAAGAACTCAGGGCGGCTGACATATGACACAAAGTGCCTAAAAATAACGTGTAAAATAAACAATGGTCTTCCCCGTAGTCACCTACGGATGTGAGAGCTGGACCAAAGGAAGGCTGAGCGAAGGAAGAGAGATGCTTTTGAGCTGTGGTGTTGGAGGAAAGTCCTGAAAGTGCCTTGGACTGCGAGAAAATCCAACCAGTCCATCCTCCAGGAAATAAAGCCCGACTGCTCATTGGAAGGAAGAATAGTAGAGGCCAAGATGAAATACCTTGGCCACATCATGAGAAGAAAGGAAAGCTTATAGAAGACAATGATGCTGGGGAAAATTGAAGGAAAAAGGAAGAGGGGCCGGCCAAAGGCAAGATGGATGGATACCGCCTTGCCCTAAAGTGACAGGAATGACCTTGAAGGAGCTGGGGGTGGTGACGACCGACAGGGAGCTATGGCGTGGACTGGTCCATAAAGTCACAAAGAGTCGGAAACGACTGAGCGAATGAACAACAACAACAACAACAAAATAAACAATACAAAAAGTAAAACCAATAGCACATAAAAACAACAATTTTAAACTTGGAACAATGCCCAGTAACCTATGGTGACAACCTCCGTAAGACATGGCCAAACTGTAAACGAGACAAGGGAGATCTGCTATATATTTTGTGTATTGGCATATCTTTGTTTCTAACAGTTCAGAGAGAGAACCAGGTATATCAGTCTAACAACTGAGAAGCCTAATTTGCCACTATGGAGAAGATTCACTCAAACGATTATTTAACTCTTCTTAGAAAATTCATACTTTCCAAAAGGGTTATGATGATTCCAAATAGTGTGAATGCCAATTAATTTCCAAAAGGGTCACGCTTCCAAAAGGCTATGGAGATTCCTGGTTTTCCAAAAGGTTGGGATCTCTAAAAGATCATGCCTTTCCGAAAGTTGTGGCCAATGATGGATGGATGGATGGATGGATGGATGGAAGGAAGGAAGGAAGGAAGGAAGGAAGGAAGGAAGGAAGGAAGGTGACACAACAAGACTTGAAGATGGAAATATTAATCTCTGGAAAGGAAGGGTCTTGCTTAAATGGTGGGCTTCTCTCCTCAAAACAACAGAAAGCAAAAGCAGGAGGGTGCCCTCGCGGCCATGTCCCCCCTTCACCTTTCCAGGGGCATCCAGTTGCCTATTTGGCTTGGAGACCGACCACAGGGTTCTGGACTAGCTGGGCTTTCAGTCTGATTTAAGAGGGATCTTCTCAAACTAGGGTCCTCATATATCCATTCGGAGTCTGTTTCCCCCCAAGTTAATTGACTCAGGAAATATAAAATTAAACAGGCAGCTTGGATTTCCTTTCTTCTGCCCCAAATGCGAAGTTGTAGTAGTCCGTTTTGTTTCTTAGTCTTTGTGTTTGCAAAGGATGTAGGAGAGAGAGATAGCTAGTTAAAGAGGAGGATTATCCTCCAGTTATCCGATTCCCTGGGAGAAGCTATTAAAACTGAAGAGCTGGCTTGCGGCTTTCTCTTGTTTTGCATTAAAATGGTAATTGCCATGGCAACTTTTGTATTGTGCGATACACAATCTCCTTTGGCCAAGCCAGGAGTGTTCTCGAAATGGCTCTGCCTTTATGTATTTGCCTGAACACAGTCAACATGTTTTCTGGCCATTTTGGGAACCCTTTGAATCACAGAGAGAGAGCCAAGTGGGGAAAGAGATGCGCACATCTGCTGAGTCGGGATGTGAAGACTTTCTTCTTTTCTTCCCTCTACATCCGGTCCTTCTCTCTCTCTCTCTGATTTAAACAAGATCTTTTGGGGATGCGTTCAAATAGGTCAAGAACATTCCACTTGTTGTTAATAATAATAATAATAATAATAATAATAATAATAATAATAATAATAATGCAGAGACTCTGGCACAAGTGAGTCAAGGTGGTCCCAGTGGTGATCGGCACATTG